TACTTGTGAAAATGGCTAGTACAATGGTTCTGCATGCTTTGAGGACCCAGAATAGATGGTTTGGATGTAGTTGATTCATTTTCTGTTACCTTTTCTTTACCATACTATGATACTTTGTTCCTCTGCACCCTCAGCTTCTTGCTCATTATTCATCATGCACTAGTCTCATGTATGTCTCATACTAGCCTCTAGCTAAACGTTTTTCGACCCCGGGGCTGAATGCCTCTAATACCGGTACCGTATTCATCTAACAAGACCAGCCTGCCGCTACCAGGTCGGAATGAAGTACCATTGGGGCTAAGGCAAAACACCCAACAGAGCCAGAAAAGAGTCCCAGAAAGTGTCCGGGCTACAAAGGCCAATCTAAGACGCTTTATTGCCAACTCGCAACAGATTGGGGAGGTTTTGTTACGACTGTCTCAACTCGAACTTTCTTTATTACCGGGGGAAAAAAATACCAATATTTAATATTCCCAAACGCGGACTAGTGGCCTGGAGCTCAACCTTCCTGAGCTCAGTACGGTACCGTAAGTCACAGCCGAGTACCGTAAATGATTGAACCACAAGCATTCACCTTGAGGGCCTGGACACAGACGATCCCTTCATTCAATGCTGGACCCACAAACATTTCAAATGCCCAGCACAGCACACAGCCGACGGACAGGAAGAAGCTTCGCATACTCGAGTAAGTCACAAGCCACCAAAGCAGTCCAGCTTCAAGCTTTAGTCGCCGGCTGGGGTCTCGCGCCGGTGGGGAACCTCGGGACATTTCCTCTTCCTCCACCACCAACCCACCGATAGCCCCTCGAATTAGCACAAGACTCCCAAATCGAAGGAAGGAAGGGGATTTAGGTCCCTCTTACTACCGTACTTAAGTAGAGCTGATCACTGGGAAGGAAAACGAAGATAATAACAATCGACCAATTCACCCGGGCCACAGATTCAACACCTACCGCTCTACCATCATAATAGCCAATTCACACCACAAAGACCATACCGGTCCAGACCTGGTCTGGGGTTGGGGTTTCCAAAAAATTATATAACGAGTTAGGATACGCCAATCTTATTTTTTTTTTTTACTATTTTTATTTTTGAAAGCAAAAGGGTTCATGAAATATCCTCCTTCGATTTCCCCTGTTATTCGCGCTGAAAGTGCAGAGCTGAGCACCTGCCCACAAGCTCCCAGCACGTGACAAAAAAAAAGCTTTGCGGTTATTGCCTATGCTTCGTCTGTACCAGCACTTATAGTGCACGAGGGGATACAACCAGGGGCTGTGGCTATCATCCAGCCTACCAGAGATTATGTCAAAGAAGCGTCTATGTGTCGTAGTATGACATCTCTGAGAGAGTTTTATGTATTTAAGGGACCTGTCTATCCCACCTGGAGAGCAAGTCACTTGGAGATATATTTTCTTACATACTTTTTGTCTTCTTTTTTTCTTCTTCCCGTTATTACAACAACTATGATAAGAGTACGGTAGATCGATCGAGTGAGCATTCGTGACCACACCAAGTATGATGATATTATGATAGCTAGAAACTACAGTATCATAGTTCCGTGTCGAGTCACTTTAGTGTTAGCGGAAATGAAGAGAGTTCAGATTGTGATGTAGAGGATGAAGATGTTCGCTGGGGGGGGAAAGGAAGAGAGAAAAGGTGATAGTAGAGAAGATAAGCGGATAGACAAGAGGGTGACGTGAGCGGTCACAGAGCTTCACTCGAGACTGCCGCAAGAGCAGAACTACGATTTCTAACATTTGGGCTAAGCTGTGAGCACAGCACGCATCGTATGCTTGATCAGGCCAGACTCCCGAACATTGGCATACGTACGTACCAAAGCGAGGGCTCACCCGTAGTCTACAGTGCATACCCTTCCCAAGAACCTTCCCAACCCCGCCTTTCTCCTCCCGACCTTCCGGGAAGGCGGCGACATCATCCTGCTCCGCAAAGGCAGAACCCTGGAGCTCCTTACGCTTGCCCCTCATCGTGGGATCGAAATACGTGTACTGTACGTTCACCCACCCACCTGCTCTGCTGGCGTCCGCCGGTTATGGGGGGGATCGAGAGGGAAGCGCCTTCGGTAGGAATGAATTTTTCCAAATCAGCTGGAACCCTCTCCTTCGGGACCGAGTCCCCCCATCCCACCCTCTATTGGAGTCACTAAAGGTTTCTTCTCAGTCCTTAAAACAAATGGACATTGTTGGTCATCACAGTTTTTTCTCTCACTCTCGGTGTCAACTGGTTGGTGTTCCCCTATCCCCCCGCTCCTCTCAATTTTGGGGGAAAGATTGTGCAGTTGGTTCTGGGCCAGAGGGGCTGTAGGATTGGGGGCATTGAGCGGTGGTGGGATGCGTGTGTGCTTTGGGTTCTCGTGTCATAATCTACGGTAGCCAGTCAAATACGGCGATCCCACCCTTAATTTAAATAATCAAAGGAACTTAACAGATCTCAACAAAAAAACTGGCAGTATCATACTTGTACTGCTAATCCTTGACGTCACAAATGGGAATGCTTCCGATCAGTGATTGCATCGTGACTTATTCGGTGCTTTTAATAGTTGCCATTCCATACTTTAACACGAGAGGAAAAAGGATACGGTAGTGAGTGCTCTTGGTTTGGTAGGCCAAGTCCAGCAGGCTACCGGTACGATAATGGTAGTGAAGTGTCCCACCAGTACCGGTATTTACTTGTACTCGAGTACAAGTGCGAGTAAACAGCAATAGCCTCCCCATCAAGCCTAGCTTAAAAAGAAAAAAAAAATCACATCTGCCGCCGGCCCACCACAAACGAATTTAATTCCAAAACCATATCAAAATATCACTGCTGAGATCCCAATTGAAAAAAGAAAGAAAAAAAAGGAAAGGCCCAAGGAAGACAGAAAGTCCCAAAACAACCCTAAAAAAAGCCCCATAACGCCCCACCGTGAGGGGCGAGAGGGAGGTGTTCGTCCTTGCGTATTATTGTCACCTTTTTTTTCCCAACAAGTAGAAAAGGAAAGAGAGAAAAAAAAGAAAAAGAATAATCAAAAGAAACTATCAAGCCCCCCTGTCACCCCCCGGTTTTGCATCGAAAACGAAAGCGTGAGAATCAAACCCTCTGGTATCACCCATTTTGTTCAAGCGCAAGTCGTCCGTGATCATTATGGACCGCAACTCCCTCACGATCCGCCGACATTCGCTCACCGCATTTAGTGCATCGCCATCCCCATCATCAGCATCGATCATACCTTGGCCAAACTGTCCCGACGTACTCTGAGCTATCTGCGCCAACATAGCTCGGCCCGTCGCGTCCTGGGGAAGGAGCGCCAAAGCCGGGCTGCATTTAAGCAGTCGCTGAAAAAGTTGTCGAGTTGGCTTGGTGGTGACCAACCAACTGATCAAGGGAAAATAACGCATCAAATCCGAAGTCGGAATGGGCGTCCCGTTCTTGAGATTCAAGAAAAGTTGAAGGAAAGGAATCTGAATCGAATAAAGAGTCGAGGCCATCATCTCCAAAAGCACAAACTGCAACAGCCAAATTGCCGCCACCTCCGCTGGGGGGTCCTGTGGGTTTAACGCTGTCGATAGACACTGCAGGTCACACATCAATGCAGCAGATTGATGTGTCATACCGAGAGCTTCATTAGACTCCACAGACGGCTTAGGGGTTGACGTGACTGAAGTAGGGATGATAGAAGAGAGATCGAGAGTAACATCATTTGGAAGCACTGGGAATGAAGGAGCAGGGCGCCCGACAATATTGCCACCCATATTCGTGAAAGCCTTGATAGAATCCTCAAAAGACTTGAGTTGTCGCTGCATCTCCTCCACGCGTTTAGCAAGAGATGTGTTCTCCTCCTCAACAGCCGACAGTCGAGTTTTGAGATCGGTGTTGTCTTTTTCTAGAACAGCCTTCTCATCTTCAAGCTCCTCCAACTCCTTCCTTCTCCTTTCCCTAGAAGCCTGAGCAGCCGCGCGATTTCTCAGAACGCGCTCGATTCGGCGCTGTTCTTTTTCCGCAGCAGTCTTTGCACGCTTCCTATGGGCGGTATTAGCACAAGTTCGAGAAATAAATGTAGCCACGTTCACCAGACGCGAATAATACTCGGGTGTCAATAAAACAACGCAAAGAGCTCCAACTAACCTTGGGGGGAGGTTGGTTGTAGGAGTTGGTAGTTCCTGACCCCACGATTTCCTCTTCTTGGCAGGCTTCTTCTCCCTCTCAGGCTCGGGCTTTGGTGACAAAGAGGGGGAGGAATCCCTCAGTTCAACAGGCGAGTCTGCCAGAGGCTCAAGCCCAAGTAAATCGATTTCCTCCAACTCCGATGGAGCGTAATCGGCAGTCGCGGAGAATCCGAAAACATCTGCATCGCATTCCGCGAAGGGAGTTGTGGCAAAAGGAGACTCAGGAGACGCGCACGGATGCATTATGTGTGTGCTGTATATACTCTTGGGATAAAAGCCTGTGAATAGCTACTTAGGGGAGGTGTGTGCTAAGAGTGCTGATGGTTTCTGATCCGATTCATGAGTAGAAGAGAGGAAGGGAACAGGTTTATGAGGGGAAGGAAAGGTAAAAGTTTGTGTGGATTGTTTTGGTTTTCGAGGTGTGGACAGCGTGGTCTTTGGCACGATGAGTCGATCGTTTCGAGGAAGCGTTTGCCTTGGGGCGAAGTCGGGGGGGGGGAAAAAGGAAAGTGGAAAGAAAGAAAGAAAGAAAAGAGAGGGGGGGAGCGCAAAGCCACAGCTACAGAAAGTGGACATCTGTCTTTTTTTTGTTTTGCCGCCTCAAGCAATTTGGCACAAATATCCACTGGTCAGGAAATGCCTTTCTTTGTGTTCCTGAAATACCTATATCATACAAGTGACCGATATCTGGAGTACAAATACCGTACTATCCGAAGGTGCCTTTTCTCATCAACATGACACGTATCGACTCTTATGTGAAACCCGCGCAATCTGAGGCCGTATGCTAACCAGGCTAAGGGAAAAAGAGGGGGACAGACTTCACATGAACATAAAATGTAACCATGATAATAATATTATTACAAGAAAGGGCAAGAAAGAATGAAAAGAACTAGACTATCATAAGAGACCCATATTCAAACCTCTCAAACATGATAAAGAAGAAGAAAGAAAAAAAGACCTCTCCACGACTATCGTAGCCGTGGTCTAATCTATATCCTCTAGTGCCATCGTCGCAACCGTCGCAACAGTTGTCTTAGCTTCCTCTGATGATCGGGGCTTGGCCTCTTCCCTTCCCTCTTCTACTTTCTTCTCATCAGTTCCCGCCGTCGCGCTACCTAACTCCGGAAGTGGAGATGGTGCGCGGAAGAGCTCTTCATGTAGGTCTGGTAAAAACCTTTCTAGTCTCTTCCAAGTAAGATTCCACAGTTCCGTGTTCTTCCCACCCTCTTCTGGAGGAACCAGGTATTTTCCACTGGCCATGACAAGTAGGATATTCTTGAGACTCTCTGGCACCGCTTCCTCCTACAGATAGCGTTAAAATAAGTTCCAAGAAGAAGGGTATTAAGATATTGGTTCTACCAGGTGATCTCCTTGTCCACTATTCATAAGCCTGTCCATAATATCCAGGATTTTTAACCACAGATCCAGCATCCCATCCCATTCGGAAAGCATGACAAGGTAATGCAAGAATACCTTGCACAGCAGTGTGGCCGCTTGGACCCTTGTGTCACTCATTCCCCTAGGGTCGGATTGGAATACTTCTGGCTTCAGAAGTCTATTTATCAGAGGAAACAAGACATCTCCAAATATTGCTGTCCACTCATGATGGTCATCTGATGTGAGATCTGGGGAAAGTAGAGAAGGTTGGAGCGATGAAAAGGCTTGATTACGGATCTCGCGGCACGGATTGATACATTGAGTGCTAAGAGATTCGAGTATCGGACTCCAATAGGTGGTCCATGCTGCCCCTCAATTAGAGACTAGGCTAGGAAGGTGAGGGAGAGGCACAGCAGACCTTCTTTCTTCTCTAGATGAGATTGCTTAATCAAGTTCGGAACCCTAGGGGTGAGCTGGTAAACCATGAGCACAGCTTTAGCGCCACGTGCCACGATTTCGGCATCACTAGGCTTCGTTAGTTTTCAACGACTAGCAAGACTTATCAAAAACTTACGGCCTGTCAACTATTTTCTTTGCCTTCCCTCGTTTAAGTAATTTGTCTTGTTTTTGTTCGAAAATAGATCCAACACTGCCCGCAGACGCAAAATCGTTCAGAAGGGAGACAACCGGAACATAATTATCTGAAGTGACATAAGGTGACTCCGAGGTGATAAGTTCCATAACACTAAAGGCCTCTGCCGAAGCATCGGCATTAGGCAGGAGTATTCTTAGAAGAACCCAGAAATCTGGTGAATTGACCATTTCTGTCTTGAGCGAGGAGGAAGCACTCTTCACACATTTTGATAGCCCCTTGACGGCCGGTGAAGCTGATTTAGCCAGCAGACCTTTATCCAGAGTCGCAATAGAGTGCAGCAGGACAGGAACATTGAGGAATGACCTATTGTGGCTGGCTTGCAAGAGGGAAAACAAGTAGTAAATGACCCTCGAAAGAACAATTTGATGCGTGAGCCCTGCGTTCCGAACGATGTTCGTCAATGTCTCGGCCAGCATTTTTCCATGTTCGGCCACCGTCTCCTCATCCCTCAACACCAAGCAGGTTGCTAGCTCCAGCACGTATACCACGGCTGGATCATATATTGGCCCCTTCTTAACAGGGTTAGATCCATTGGGGGACTGCGCTGGGTAATCGGGCTTAATGATGACAATATTAGCGCTATCATCTTCATCCTCATCGAGATTCGGGAGTTGTGAGAGAAGTGCGGTAACTAGGGATCCCAAGTTTGTCGCATCGAGTTGCCTAAGGCATGTCAATACCAAACCTCAGCAGGGCCCGACAGGAGTTATACATTATATTCACAAATATGTCCCCAAGATAGCACGCATTGATGCAATCCACAGTACACAAAGTGCTATCTAGTTCCTCGTCTGAAGGTTCTGGGGGCTCGTCACTTGCGTAGCTAGAAAGGTATGAGGAAAGCGCCGAGAAGAGGCCAGCTTCCTTTGAAGTCTGACTTCTTTCTATGACGACAGAAGGCGTTTGTAATGGGATCGAGGAAATATCCAATCCACTCTCCGACTGAGAAAAGAATGGTGGAATCAAGGAGTTCACAAACAGATTTAGCCATATACGGACGATCTATATCCTAGTTAGAAAGTAGGGTATGGTAACGGATCCCGAGCTGACAAACCTGTTTCCACCCCTCACTCAAAACTATCTCATTGCTTGTAACGACACGAAACAGAACAACCGTTGCCAACTGTGCCTTGAAATCCCTTCCAAATTTCACCGCCAACTCTGAAACCATGACACTATTGTTATTGACTTGAATTTCAGTGTTGAGTGCGGTACTAGGAGGCGTCTCAGTCGAAAGGGTGCTGATAGTGCTCAAGCAGCGAACTATATGATCCAGGGCTTCAGTCAACCCATATTTCGCAGCGACTCTAGCGCACTGATCAAATCCAGCAATGACTCTTGAGAACACGGCATCATCAGTGGCAGATAAGAACACATAACTGAGTGTTGCGATTATGGGTTTCCAGGTAGCTGCGAACATGTCTGCATCGTAGATATTAGTATCGCAAATCACCAAGTCTCCTGCCGACATCGTTTTGAGCAGCAGCTCTCTCCAAGCATAGTCGAATGCATGCTTATTGTCGTGCTCCTCCGGCAAGATAATCTCATTGTTCTTGATAGTATCGAAAATTGCTTGCAAGTATGCTGGCTCGAAGTTCTTGCCGCCATTAACGCCTCTAAGATTCCGGGCAAAATCCTCATATTTCATCCGTGCTTGGGACTATACTAAGTCAGCAATTGATTTCCTCTATAACCTGATGATCGGCTACTTGGCTAACCTTTAAATTAGGGTTATGCTGATCCGTGTTGAGCATAATAATAGCGTAACTCAAAACAAAAACCGCATCCTTGTCCTCGACGTCATCCGGCTTGACACCAGAGCAGTATTTCTCCGAGAAAACAGTTACGATACGCTCGATCAATGCAGATTCACCAGGTAAACGGAATGTCTCAAGCATGTCTCTCAATGCTTCATCGACACGTTTACCGGAAAAGTCGAACATTTCCATAAAAACTGTGAGGATATTCATGTTAGACTTCTTGGAAAGATACTCCCCGAGCAGCTTCTTGTTTATTCGAGATGTGCCTTTGAGGAATCGAGCAATGGAGTCAGGATTGTCAGCCCTGTCAATGATATTTTCTGCGACAAGATACTGAATTCCCTTTTTAGGATCTTCATTGAACTTGTTAGCTCCATTGATGATGATCTGTTTTCGTGCTCGCTGCTTCTGAAGCTTTCCCGGATCGGGGTATCCCTCTGCTGCTGGTTCATTGTTGAGACGTTCTGAGATGAAACCAATATAACCGAGCAAGGCGTCCAAACAAAGCGGAGGGACATTCGTCGTGCTCCAAGTTGCAGAGTCAGGGAAGGCATTCTATATAGGTGATCAATAAAAAATCTTCATTTGCTCAATAAGGACATGTCCTACCCTAGATAGGAAGGAAATAACATCCTCACAAAGATCACTTCTATCGACCTCGCAGTCATAGTTGACGTACAGCTCAACCATGAAGCTTGGTATCCTGGCCAAAGCCCCCACGCTCTCGACCATAGCCTCCCTAGCGTCAGGTCTCCTAGATCCTCCCTCCATGCCAAGCTTCTGTCTTTCCTTCACAGGTACCGGTGTGGATCTGCCGCTGCTGGGTGCTTGGTAGACCCCCTCATAGAGCATTGGATCTATCCCTGGCTCTCTCGGAATATCAATTTTAGGATGTAGGCAAGCGATAACATATGACAAAAAGAGCTCTTGTTGCAACTTCAATACACTTCTAGTGGTAGCCAATAGGGTTCCGGTAACCCTCAAGGACTCTTGGAGTATAGTCATGGTATCCGACCTCACTAGCTGAAAAAGATATCTGCAAAGATCATCCTTCGCCAGGCTTGCAAGGCTAGGGTGCTTAGCAATAGAAGGCCCAGCAACCTCAAACGCAACATCAATTATTCTCATTGCCATTACCCTCATAGTGTCCGTGTGAGTCTTATTATGCGGATCTAGTAGCTCCACCAGTACTCTCAACAGCTCCCGTATGGATGGTAGAGAGTAAGGCTTAACCTCTTGTTCCTCCTCCGCGACCTCGGCGACCGCAACCTGATCCCCGCCAGCAGCTCCCGCAGGTGCAATTGAGGGTGTGGGTGCATCCCTGCTTTTTTCCGAAGATTGCGAGGATTCGAGTTCACTCGCTTGTGAAGAGCTATCACCATTCACTGAAGGCTCCATCTTAACGCTCTCCATCTCGTCTTTCGAGCTCTCCTCAAGGTCACCGCCAAGGACATCCGCTTCAATCTCCAAGTGTTTAAGTCGCTCAAATACAACTTGGCACATAAACACCATGGACATCTCGGCTGACCGTCTCAGCATCTCGGATAACCGCATCTGGCAACACATACTCAGTCCAGTCTCCATCATTTCGCAGACGCTCTCATCACCGAGCAACTCCCCCCCCGGTCCCGAAATCATCATCTCCATAAGTTTCAAAATCCGTAGCAGCACGACCTCATCTTGAGCTGAATCGGAAGCTTCGAAGCGGCAGTGGGTGATTGCTGAGGATAGGAGCTGCATTGCTAGTGAGAGTCGGGGAGAGTCGCGGTTAATCAAACTATACGCAAAGAACTTTGTTACGGCAATTAGAGCAAGTGAGGTAATGGGCCCCGACGTCGATGAAGACCGAATAACCTGTAAAAAAGGATGTAGAAGTGAAGGGGTATCGAATCTCCTAATATCTAGACCCCCCTAAACGTTAATCCTGCTAATATCATCCAACAAGCAAACAAATAATCCGGAGCTTTTACTACCTTTACAATCCTGTAAATCACTCCTTAGTTTTGCGAAGGCTGCCATGAGGGGATTATCCTAAACGATGAGAAAGAAGAAAAAAAGTCAATTTGGCCCTTCCCCAATGGTCAGACTAAAATGCACAAACCTGAATACTCTTTCCTCTCTTCCCCCTCAACCCCCACCTGCTTGTTAGCCCCATATCCAACCCCACCTCCTCACCGCCCAATTTCCGTCTCTGCAACCCCCTAACAGGGCTTCCAGGAATAGGAGTGCTTAACCCGCTCCCAGTCGCACTCCCAGATCCCCCAGAGGCAACACTACCGCCCCCGCCTCCCAGTATGACAGATACGGAGCTCTGGGCCCACCGCGCGTTCTTGCGCATAGCAGAGGTGACAGAAATGCATTCTGTGGTGACTAGGGCGATGGGATTGATCGCCACGGAAATTTTCTGAGGGGTGGATAGGGTAGGAAGCTCTTCTTCTTCCATTGCGCCAGAAGGTTGTGAGAGATGGGACAAGATGCGGTGGTGGTAATAACTATGGTTGGAGCTAGGGGATATAGTGGGGGAGGTGGTAATTGTGGAGTTATGTTTATCAGGTTCGAACCCTGAGGCTTAACGTTAAGAACTCGAGGTATGATAGCTTCTCGGGTGGTAACATTGTACTACCCGTTTTCAAAAGTATCCGGACGCCTTGGCGCCAATACAGCCGGATTGGAGCAAGGG